GAGGCATGCTCGTCGCGGGCTCGCTCCGGCACCGTGCAAAAGTACTTGGCCGCGCGGTATGCATACGGTTATTACCTCGTTTCAGCATTCGTGCAAACACGAGTGCCATTACCTTCCTTTTCAAACTAACCGGCTTCCGTTTCCCTATATCAACCGGCTCCCGGGAATATCTGCGGCTTCGCCGTCGGCGAGATCAAAGGTCACAAAGACTCCTCGTAATTAAATGCTAGTTTCCGTTCCCTGTAACCATAATTCGATCGTAACTAATTTTTCTGCTCCCGCCGTTTCAGCGATACTCGTCGAGCATCCCGTCGACCATTTCGCGTGCAATCATCCGCCGCCCCTTCGGAAACGTATCTCCGCCGTTGCTCGGCGGATTCTACGATTCCCGATGAACCCGTCGAGAACATTTTTTTTCGATTTCTCGTACGAAATCGCAGTGGAAATTGAAAGAAACAGAGCGTGGCTTTTGCGCGCGATAAAAATGCTACGGCCCTGCCGCGATTTAATTCTGGCAGAAATATGTGGATCTCCTCGAGTATCGCTTTCCCCTGCCTAACAGTACACAATTTCTCATCGAAAACCTACTAATGCCACGGTAGTTTCCACCGTGCGGGCGGCGTCGTGCTTGCGGGAATACTCGCGAGCACCTGAACCCGTGGATCCAGGTGTTTCAGGAGCGATTCGATAATACGCTGCTGCGGTTCTTAAATGCCTAACCTTTCCGGCGTTACGAAACGTTTTTATCGCGGCCCGGCGAGATTCCATTTGCTGGAAAAATTGATCTCGCGATCTGCAACTGAACAAACTTTTCCCCTTCCGGAAAGCTCAGTCCGAATGTACACGGTGTGCCGAAAGTGACTCGCAATCGAGAACCGAGGGATTCCCCGAGGTCATTTGAAGCAACTTTTTCCTTTGCAAAATGTTTCTCCGACGCCTCGTTCACGAGTTATCGACGAAAAATCGTAGCGCCAATCGTAGAGCGAGGGCGGGGCCTCGAGCGTTTTTCGTTAATATCTCGTAAACGAAGCCGCGGATCGCATTTGCGCAAAGGAAAAAGTTACTTCGAATGACCTCGGGAACCCGTTAAAACACTGACCAATAAGTGACTGGCGCTGGGAGACCAAGCTCGCCTCTCATTGGTCAGCGTTTTTCGCTGATAACTCGTAAATGAAGCCGCGTATTTGCGCGAAGGTGAAATTTCCTTCAAATGACCTTCCATTTCTCGATCGCGAAATGACTTTTGGAACACCCAGTACGTAGAACCAGTGGCCCGTGTTTTCGCTACGGGATCGTGTACAATCGTGGAACAGAAAATGTTGAAAAAGCTCAGTAGGTCGGAGCTCGATTAAAAACAGCCGTTCCGAGTAAGATATTCCGAGCGGCGTTATTACACGCTACACATGATTCTGCTAACTGCTTCTTAACGAGTCGCATGCGTGACACAAAGTACAATGGTTGATCGAGTATTCCTCGTTCCCCTTTGATTAATGCATCTGGTTCGTTAGAATTTGCACGCCCGGCGTGGCTGGAACGCTGCAGACCGTGCGCAAGGATATGTTACCGGTAGGAAACGATATTTTTCAAGATGTNTTTTTCGTTAATATCTCGTAAACGAAGCCGCGGATCGCATTTGCGCAAAGGAAAAAGTTACTTCGAATGACCTCGGGAACCCGTTAAAACACTGACCAATAAGTGACTGGCGCTGGGAGACCAAGCTCGCCTCTCATTGGTCAGCGTTTTTCGCTGATAACTCGTAAATGAAGCCGCGTATTTGCGCGAAGGTGAAATTTCCTTCAAATGACCTTCCATTTCTCGATCGCGAAATGACTTTTGGAACACCCAGTACGTAGAACCAGTGGCCCGTGTTTTCGCTACGGGATCGTGTACAATCGTGGAACAGAAAATGTTGAAAAAGCTCAGTAGGTCGGAGCTCGATTAAAAACAGCCGTTCCGAGTAAGATATTCCGAGCGGCGTTATTACACGCTACACATGATTCTGCTAACTGCTTCTTAACGAGTCGCATGCGTGACACAAAGTACAATGGTTGATCGAGTATTCCTCGTTCCCCTTTGATTAATGCATCTGGTTCGTTAGAATTTGCACGCCCGGCGTGGCTGGAACGCTGCAGACCGTGCGCAAGGATATGTTACCGGTAGGAAACGATATTTTTCAAGATGTCTCCGACTCCGGGAATATGTATCGCGTACCCGCCAGGTGCGCGTACCGTTGAACACCAGCAGTTACCTGTCCTGGCCCGGTACTGATCGATTATTCCGTTTCGCATATCGTCGAAAAACCGCAGCACTGAATATAGCATACAGCACTGAAACATTTGATATTTTACTCAAGCTATACTGTACGTAATTATTAATTATTGTATTGTCCCATAATTATGTTAGAGTGATACCTGAGGTGAATCGAAACAACTTTTTCCTTAGCGAAAATGCGGCCCGCGGCTTCGTTCGCGAGTTATTAACGAAAAACTAACGCGGCCACGCCCTCGCCGTCCGCCCTCGCTCTCCAATTGGTCCGCGTTTTATGCGAATAACTCGTTAACGGTGCCTCGGAGAACATTTTCGTAAAGGGAAAAGTTGCTTCAAATCGTCTCAGGAATCCTTTCCGGGTGTCGATATAATTATGGGACACCCTGTATAACAATGAAACATACTTGTTACGACCCATTTCTTATGGAGGAAATTAATTCTCCGATTCTAAATTCGTTACAAACTATTTTTGTTTGCGCGTTAAGTATGTGTTAAATAAAATGTGGCGTCGCATCCCTCTACCTGAGCGCGGCCGCTAGCAATAAAACAAGTACCGTTCCTAATCCTCAAAATTCCCTAAAAATCACACACCCCTAATAAAACAATTCTCCTCACATCTGGACACCTCGACCCGCACGGGACTTTCCCAACTTTCTCCTTTCCTACGAAAGCCCATCTATTCCTTTCTTCTCTTCCACTATAAAAGAGACAAACGCGCAACTCAAAAAGCTCAGTCTGTCCTAAGTTGCTAGTCCTACGACACCACGCTAGTCGCGCCCGCGCTCATCGATAGCAATTCAATAAACTGCATTAATAGTAACCTTAAACACGCTCTCCGATTCGCTTACCTTCCCTTCAGTGCTAAAAAAATAATAATAGTAATAATAATAATAATAATAATAAATGATAATAATAATAAAAGACCATAATTTTACGGCGGGGGGCGTCAAAAGAAACCACGTGAGACCCGTGATTTAGCAAAGTAATAAACAAATCGTCGAGAGGTAATATGAAGAAGATCAGAGACGCCGGTCAGTCCAGTCAGTTTCAAAATATTCGGATAATTCGCTTAGGGAGGCATGCTTCGCTATGCATAATATGCCCGGCGACGTCGATATCTCTGTACAAGAGACGCAGCCCGTTCACGGGGGGAAAGGAATGTCGCTAGTTTAGCTAGTTTGAGAAGTGTACAAATGTTAGGTATCTTCGTCTAAGACGGACGAAAGCGGAACTATGCTACAATTACACACTAAATGTTCAGGGATTTATGCGTCTGTAATAGAGATTCCTTCGGATTCCGGCGCGTCGCCTCGCCTCGCCTCGCTTCGCGAACGCGTCGCGCCGTCGCGTTGCATAGAACTACGGGAATTTCTCATTTAACCGGCCAGCGAGCAATCGCACGCGATCACCGCTCTCCGCCGAGTTTGATTTTGACCGTCCGTTTTCGCTCCCGAATCGCGACATTTAACACGCTAGATTTTGACTAATTTTTTTTTAAACATATGGTGGTTTTTAGTAGAATTATGATCAACATATGTTTTAAATAACCAACATATATTTTTAAAAAATTGTATACATTAATATATACATATATATATAGATAAATTTAAAAATATGTATATAGAAAAACTCGATTTTTTTAAAACATATATTGGTTTTTAATAGAATTACGGTCAACATATGTTTTAAATAACCAACATATATTTTTTAAAAATTGTATACATTAATATATACATATATATAGATAAATTTAAAAATATGTATATAGAAAAACTCGATTTTTTTAAAACATATATTGGTTTTTAATAGAATTACGGTCAACATATGTTTTAAATAACCAACATATATTTTTTAAAAATTGTATACATTAATATATACATATATATAGATAAATTTAAAAATATGTATATAGAAAAACTCGATTTTTTTAAAACATATATTGGTTTTTAATAGAATTACGGTCAACATATGTTTTAAATAACCAACATATATTTTTAAAAAGTTGTATAAATTAATATATACATATATATAGATAAATTAAATAATATATATAGAAAAACTCAAGTAATTTTTTTAAAACATATATTGCTTTTTAATAGAATTACGATCGACATATATTTTAAATAACCAACATACGTTTAAAATATATACAATATATATATAGATAAATTAAAAAATACGTATACAGTAAAACTAAAGTAATTTTTTTAAAGCATATGTCGGTTATTACACTCGCAAGACATTTTAGAACCGGATGCGGCGCCGGTCGGCCATAATTACGCAGATTCTGCTGTGCGGGAAGCCCGCGGGCCGCGGTTGGTCGACGTATGCAGATTTCGGGAATGCCCGAAGTTTTCAAAACAATCTCGACGACACACGGCGGCGACTATTTCCGCGGGCCGCGCGGCCCAATTTGCCGCGAGCCCAGCGGGGCCATTACCAGCCACTCGAACTAGCAACGGCGATCAAAGTTTAATTGCACCCTTATCGAGCAGTTGTACCCGGCCGCTAACAAACTGCAACTTGCACAGCGGCGGCACCAATTGCCGTGACGAACTATTTACTTCGGTCGCCGCGCGAACTTTCCTCCGCGCGTAATGATCGCATCCCGCTCGCTTATGCCGCGCCGCTATTCCGCAACGTGCACCTTTCGGGGCGCCGCTCGAAGCCCGCCTTCGGCGGGCGGAAGGAAGAGATGGCTGGAAGCCTCGGTCGAAGGAAAACTCACGTCGATAGAGGATGCTGATCATTTATTGGTCCTGTACATCGAAGTAAAATCTACAGCACGTTGGGCGAACGTATCGGGACAAATGTTCCGCGTTGAAATATCCGCCGTTCCAGCCGGATCTGCGGGAATATACAAGAAATTTATCGAAAGTTTAGAACCGTTTTTGTCCAAATACGCTCGACCTGTCACACAAGTCAGATGGCCGTTACGAAAAGTGTTGATCGTACAGTATGGTTGCAGGCGATAAAACAAGTCGCTGGATAGAAACATAATGATCGTGCTAATCCCGCTGATGAGGTACTCGTAGCGAGACGGATCAACGATCCCTGAGCAATAATTTCCGCTTTTCGATCGATGCCGTAAAAAGTAAGTCTCTCGGTCGTGTGTGCTCGCGGCGAAGATAAACTACGAAACGCTATCCGATGATCCGGTTAGATCCATTTCGCGCGTTCTTCTGTAACCTCTGTGTATGTGTCTATGTGTCTGTGAGTGTGTGTGTGTTTTTCTGTCAGTGTGTTTACGTACATGTGAATGAACACATCCACTACGCAAAATGAAAATGAACAGCATAAAGAACTTCTGAGTACATAGCACTCAAAATATCGTGCACAGTGTCACATAAAGAATTTAGATAAATCGTTCGTTATACCTAACACACGCGTCTCGGTAATTAATAGGTTTGCTCCCGTGTCGGGAACGTCCGGTTCCCGGGACAAACGGAAAATGTAAAAATATATATACGACAACGTGTAAGTCGGGACAAGCCCAGAATGCATTGGAAACGTGTAAAGCTCTGGTCTCTCGGTCAACTTGGCTCCCGCGCGAACCCGTTCGCTTTCATTTCACTCGTTTTTGTTGTCTTTGGCGGTATATGTCGTTCGCGGGCGGCGGCGGCAGGTCCTCCTCCTCGCTGTCGTCGCCACCCAGACGCGTCCTCCTGCGCTTCGATCCGATGCTGACGCCGTCGTTGCTCTCGTCGACGATCCAGTGCACGGATTTCGCGAGGTCGAACAGCTTGGTGTCACAGCCGTTATCCGCGATCGGTAACGGGGCTGGAAAAAGAACGGAACCGTCTTCGTTACAATAGCCATTTCATTGTTTAACCATCGAACCGCTCAGATTCGAAGGACGGCGAAGAAAGGAGAAAGATTGTACCATGGTCCGGTAATTGGATCCTGTTGAACACGTCCATCAGCAGGTCCACCGCTACGAATGGTCCCCTGAAACAACCAGGTGGCGGGAGCATGGTACAAAGCTGCGCCGCAGCTGGCGGCAACGGGAAAGAACCACCTGGAACGGTTGAAAATGGCACGTTAATCGACTGCGTCTTCGACGAGCTGGTTAAATCGGACTCACCGGGAACCGGATGTTCGCCCGGCAGCGGATTCACTTTTGGTTTGTACGGGATCATCTGCGACAGATCCGGTCTGGGCAGGGAGGCTATGGCTTCCTCTGGGTCCGGGATTCGCGGTAACACGCCTGCGGTGTTCCTGGTCACGCTGGATACCTCCATGTAGCCTATGGACCTCAACTCCATCGGAGTGCAGGGATACAAGTCCAAGAATTTGTATCTGTCTACCAATTGAGCGGTTTCCTTGCCCTCGAATTCTTTAATCTGAATTGCAAAATAAGTTTCACAACTTTGAAGACCTTCCGCGTGCGCCACTGAAACAAGTACCTTTTCTAAGACCGCACTGCGTCTCTTCTCAACTTTAACGATACTAGCTAAGTCACCGATGTTCGACTCGAACTCTAAGAAACGGTTCCATATGTCACTGAAAGAAAGAATCATGAACTGATGATAGTTGTCAAGGTTAAATTGTGATCGCACAAGGTAAGGGCTACGTACACTGATTTCTCTGGTTCTAAACTACCGGAAGATAAAACCCTCTCGAACAGAACTCTGGTGTTATTATCCTCTACAATGAGAAACGAAAAATATTCTAGTGAAACATACATGAGCCAACATGTTGTTCGCAGGCAGCCGCTGTATATATGTGTCTTACCATTTAAATGCGACAAATAGTCGATGTAACAAAGTATGTAGTCCGGATTGTCTCCAAACTTCTTCAAACCCAGTTCGAATATCCGAAACGCTATGTTCTTATCTTTAGTGCAATAATATTCCATCAGCGCAGCGGCCACGTACACGTGATGTTTGCATCTTGGATCCTCTCTGGCTCTCTTGAATACCGTTCTAGCCGATTTTATACCCTCCGCGCGTCTCGCGAATTTCATGTACTGTACATACGCCTATAAAAAGACGATTAACAATGTTGTGCTGTCGAGGTTATAAAAGCAAAGAAACAAAGACAATACGTGAACGTGAAAGAAAGCAAGAATGAATACTGACTAATGTGGGATCGATATCGGGTATGTCGAGGAACTTTTGATATATTTGATGGACTTTCTCGTATTTAACTCTTCCCTCCTCGAAGTCTGCATGTGCGAAATACAACAACATGTTCTTCGAAAGCAACGTGCTGGTCGCCCTTTCGAACATCGTGGCGGCCTCGTCGCTTAAATTTTTCGCTGCGTTTACATCGCCTTTCTCGGTTAATATTTTCGAACTTAATTCTAAAAAGTGCGCAGCCTGATGCCAGACTGCCGGATGATGGCCCAGGCACAGCAGGCATTGTTCAATGGCGAACATCACTCTCCGGGCGACCAACGAAGTGTCCTCCGTTCTCAAAGGATTGCTGCGCTCCCACGCAATATATTTCTTCCACAGCTCGACCTGCGTAACGTGTTGCATGAATTTTACTAGTAAGTATTTAGTTTGGATATTAGTAAGTATTTTATTAGGAGTAATTTCTTCCAAGAAGAGATGTTCCTCTCCAAATAAAAATGTACCTGTTTCACTTCTTCCGGATGCCCGGTTGGAGGCACGCTAGGCGCACTTCGGTTCAGTCCTCTGGTTACAGCCTCCAATTCCTTGGCGACCCGTCGCGCGTTCATGTAATCCCTGGATCGCTCGATTGCCATTTTCTCCGCAATTATCGGGTTTATGTTTTGCTCAAACGCCATGTAGTCCTTCCACAATTGTTCCATGTTAATCATAGGGTTAACGACACCACGTTGGTACACCTACAATTTGTGAACGTTGAAACAGTTTGCAGCATCACGTTGACAAACGATTTTCTTTTCTTCAAGTAATTTACCTTACGGACTGCGCTAATCTTTTGATTCTCCGCATACGAGCCAACCGCCTCCACGCTTTTCAAGAACATCACGTAGTCGTTCCAAATACTGTAGGAATGAATGTCCATACCGATTTTGTCCAACGCGAAGTCATACGCTTGCGCCATTTTCTCCCTACGGATATATTGTTGTTTATTTAATCGTGCCGATGGTTTAACGATGGTGAAACCCCGTTAGAAACAGGGCGATACTTACTTGTACGTCGCCAGGCTGGCTTTCGTTTCTTTGACATAAGAAAGGTAAAGTTTCCACAACTCAATATTTAAGATTTTCATGAGGCACCTTTGGAAAAGCTGTTAGAGAAAAGAAGTATTTTAGAGGCATCATCAGATGAAGACAATCACCAACATGAACTACATTCGAATGTGATCACAAGAAACATATCTACCACTTACTTACTTACCCAAAACAGGCAAGTCTTTTTTTGTTTTTTGATTACACATATATAAATATATATATTTATTTAACCATTATTACTAGTATCGATAAGAATCACATCGACAAGATCAGGAAGCAGAAATTCAATAATTTATTGATGCAGATTTACAATCACTACTACAATGGTCGTATAATAATGGAAGAAATAATAATGCACCAATGCATCAAGATAGAAATGGTTTATTACAATTAAACATTTAGTTTATCCGATAATAATTAAGAGAGAAATTTTTCATCAGACATCAGAGATTGTGTTAAAGTAACATAAAAACAGACCCCTTAAAATAAAAAAGTTTCTTTATTTTTTTCAATCGGGGTGTTAATATAATAAAACCTTCGACCTATGTGGGATCGAGAAATGAATGATCCCGAAACATCACAAAAAAATTTAGACAGTGCGAAGCAACATAAGGTGACATAGATACATATATATATATAACCTACTATAATCGCGGCGACGTCGCATAACGACTGGAGGAAAAAAAAGTATGTTTTCACAGCATATATCACCTTATGCTACCTCTGTGTATGTTTTACAATAGTTGAGAAGGCATCTCAAATATTGTTCAAGGGGAAGGTGAGTTATATAATTTCTCAAACTCATTTCGGAACCAAAACTGTACGCTATCAAGACTTTCTCTATGTATCATTTTGCGATAACACAATTTCAATTACACTACTTTGCTATTTGTATATTTCTAGTTGATTGCTTTTTTTTACAGTATTACCATTTGTACACCTTGTGTACCAGAAACTTTATGGTATAATGAATAACACGATCCAAGCATAGTGAAAAGTGTGTTGCAGGAAGGAATATAAGGCTGTTAGATTTAGGAAGTTGCCTTCATAAGTTGAAGAATGCTAACATCGTACCGTTTTCACATTTCGGTAGATGAAGATTTATTTATCGCATAGGCTACACGCATATAATAGTATGCGTACAGTAATCAACAAAGAAAACAACCTCCCAAATGTATCAACAGATCAATCAATCAATGAAATATTTGCTTATGGTGAAATATTGTTTTTATTCACCTCATATAATATGCAAAGTGCTCAGAATCACATTGTATGATAAATATTCGATCACAATGGATTAATAAATCTGTTATCTGTAATCCCATTGCACTAAGAAAATCAAAGTAAAATTCCTTTTAATATACCACTGTTAAGTAAGAAATTTTCCTATTTCATAGGATGGTTACTTGATGTCTATAAATTATTCTTCGTTATTCATGAAAACATGCATATAAATATAGGTCTCTATTAGAGGAAAAACTTCACCCAACAGTCTTGTCTCAATTTAAATACTGAAAATTGTTTGTGTGTAACGTCAAGTGAGTAATTTAAACAGTACACATAACTATAAGTTTAGCAATGTAAAATAATCTTGTTAAATTTTGAAACTCTGACAATTAATATTAACATACCTTTTCCACCTTCTCAAAGTTGCGCATTTTCATCTGAAACATTAAAAGAAAATTATAAAATATAACTTCATCAGATGAAATCCAGATGTTCGATTCCGGTGACTTTACACATTATTTTATGAGACTATAGTCTTGAATTATTTGCAGACGAATATAATTAACCACTTGCGCTGGAAAGACGTGCCACGCACGTTGTAATACTTTGTCACAGAATCGCTAACGACGTGATATATACGTTGTCATACGATTGTTACAGAAACAAAAACGACGTGCATGGCACGTCGGTTAGGATTGTTTGCCAGAGCACAGATTATCATTGCACTGCATAGCGTACAGTTGTCAATATTTAACCCATATTCTAAAATAGAAAATAAATTAGTTTAGAAAATATAAATCTTCTTCCGATTTCTCTGAGGCATCGAACACTGTGTGACGCCTCCCAGCGAGTTACACTGGACTGTCCTGGTACACGCGTCGGTGAAGTTTTTGCTAGCGCAAGTGGTTAAGAAATTTATGAAAACTACCTCTTGTTCTATATAAATTTTCCAGTAACGACCGGCAGAAGGAAATACTGTGACAAGCTTCTCGAACACTGGCCTCACTTCCGTGATAGGTCTGTTTTGTGCTTCCCGAATCAGGATGCTCCATGCTTCCAGATCGTAAGGCGATTCATCCACTGTCTTTTGAGCACGTTGTAATTTTTCGTTTCCCCAATCCTGTATAAAATAATTGAATCAAACAGTTACCATTAAACCAACCACGGTCAAACGATCGTCTCATTTCGTAATTATGAAAATTATAAGGACGCTTTTGCGAGAAATGATTTAATAAATTATGCTAATTGAGCAAGGACTATAATAAAAGCAGTTCGAAAGCTAAATAAATTCGATCGTCGCGCATTTGCGAGGCAATGTATACAAGTCGCTTTTACTGCTCGGCAGGTTTAATTATTGTGTTAATAATTGCGAAACTTCCAAACATAAAATACATTGGAGCAAGAAACTTAGGTTATGTTAGCCTACTGTGAACGATCAAGAAATCATTTGATGTACTTACAAATTCTGTTTTGTCTTCCGACATTTTCTAACACTTTCGATGTTGCTGGTGCCCTGTAATAAGAAAAAAAACTTCCACGTATAATTGAGAAAGACAAGCGAAAATTCCACAACAGCCAACTCACAATTGCCTTCTATCTCGTGAAAGCAGCACAAGCCGAAACTTCGATAGCGTTCGATAATTCGATCTATCGAATCGAGTCGTTCGAGTTCTAACTATCGATACTAATCCTTATTTGAAATGTTTCATCTTTATTTTTGCCATAAGCTTTGCCATAGGCATAGTTGCTTTATTCCAAAAACTCCGTTACAATACTATTGCATTAAAAAAAGAATAATTCTTCAATAAATACTTTATTTCTTCGGTAAATAATAAAAAGAATCGAATCCATCACGTGGCTCCGCCGGTGGCAGAAGGCTGAAACTATTGATTGCGAAATGATCCGATTCGACTACAGATGGCGACACAATGCAGTCGAGCGCTCTGGCAAGTTATATTTGACCATCTACTCAATGAAACAGTCATATAACGAACCAAGACTTGCAGCACAAAAATTTCCTATTATTTATTATTTAAATGATTTATATATATATTCTATTCGAACTAATTTATGCATGGACTATTCGAGATAGTTTATGCACGAGTTATTCCAAATAAACTATACATGTTCTATTCAAAATAGATGATGTATAGCGTGTTCGAAATAACTTAATTCTAATGCAGCATAACTGCATTGTGTCGCCATCTGCTTACGAATGTACAGGAATCCCTGCCCCCTTGGAGCCCTGTATCCCAGGGGTCCCATTAACTATTCTGGAACACGTTGTAACGCTCGAACGGTTTTTCTGAACAGGATTCCGCGACACAAATATTTCGTTTCCAATTGTCGCGGAGCCACGTGTTGACACGACGCGTCCGGGCTCGGTATTCTCGCTTGTGATTGTTTTGAAACGCGTACTTAGGATCGGAATGCGAGAGTTTCGAAACGGACGTTACGATTTCCGGAATGGAATCCGATTTCTTCGAGCGAAATAATCGATTCTATCAAGAAATCGAGTCGGAATCGAACTCTAGTGTGTATTAGAAAAGAGTAGAATCGAGCGACGGCACACGCGCTCTTAGTGCTCCGTGCTGAAATACGCGACCACGGGGAGCGAGACGCGCGGCGGCGTGGCTTTCGCGCTCCGAGCGTCGCGTGCCGGTTAATTCCGAGCCCCGCCATTTCGTACGAAATTCGTACCGGATTTCACAGAGAAAATAATCGATTTGAAATTAAATTGAAATTAAAATAATAAAATTAAGAAGATCATTGTATTATGAATTTTTATTCTGGGAATTCTGGCCAACGAGTCGCGTCGCGTGCCGCGTCACGCGCTTCGCTGACTCGGACGAGCATTAGCATAGGCGTAGGAATAGCGGTAGGAATACGCATAGGCGTGACAATAGCGCAGGAACAATGCGAGTAGAATGCATGTGGGAGAATTCACTGTACAATGAGAATAACATACGCGATTAAATTGTTTCTCACGTTTCCACGCGTGCATTTTCCGATCAAATTGGTGGACGCTGGAAGCTTCGTTTCCTTCGAATGTTAATTCTAATGTCGCTATTACGTCGCAGAAACGGGTGGATATAGTCGGCTCGCGGTAGAAACGTCGCGACATTTCCGCGTGTCGCGGGTTACCATGGCTACGAGCTTATCCCATGTAGAACCTTGACACTCGTATCCTTGTACGGGACGACCGTTTTTCCTTCCCCCTTCGATGCTCGTCGCACTGCAACTCCCTTGCCCCAATGACCCAGTTATCAGTGGGATCGCGGATCGGTGTTTCCGTTTCACGTTTCGCCGACTCCTTTCGCGGACGGTTCGAAGCGACTGGTCCTCGCTATTTCCGCGACGCTTAATTATATATTTTTATTTTATTCGAAATTTACGAAATTTGCAGCCTTCGCTCTAAAAAGAAAACTCGGTCGACGGAAGCTTCGTAGAAGCTTGCTCCGTCGCGTCTTTCTCCGTCGACGTTTTCACGGTCGCTGATCACGAATCTGAAAATTCGCAAAACAACATGGCGGATCGGTCGTTGGAAAAAGTGATTCGATTCTCGCGAAAATCGATGCGCGTGTATTTTCGAAAGTTCCGATCGCGGATATGAACCTGAAAATTCGCAAAGCAACATGGCGGATCCAATATGGCGGACCGGTCGTTGGAAAAAGTGATTCGATTCTCGCGAAAATCGATGCGCGCGTACTTTCGAAAGTTCCGATCGCGAATCTGAATTTGAAATTTGCGAGAATAATTAATTCCTTCGAAACGCGAGTCCGCGGGCAGCCACGATTTTTAGGGTTTGCGGCCGCGATTTCGGGTTTTCCCGTCGCCGTGAAAATGTCCGCCGGTTCGCCTAAGCGCTGTTTACGTTACATGGATAGCTGTTTAGCCGGGCGTTTACGTGAAAATGGTTCGCGCGGTTACGAATATTCCGTGGAATACGTTCATTAAAAGTTTGTTACCTTGTTACACCGGGGAGAGAAGGCTGCCACTCCGTACACGTGAAACGAGTTTCTCGCTGCCTGGAGAGCAACACACGTGGACTTACGTAAATATGTTCGAGCACGTTTACACAGAGAGACACACCGATATCTCGCTATCCGTGGCTCGCCGAGCTGTTCGTCACTTGGGAGGAGGATAGAGGCGGTCGTTTCGCTCGGATCAGCGGCGACTTGCCGGAAAACGGTTTCTTTTCAAACCTCGATTTCCCGCGCGCATCTCGCTGGCCGAGGGAGCGGATTATAGTAAATAATACTCAGTGAGCAAATGATCGTGAAATTTGTATCGATTCGATGAATACCGATTCCTGAAACCTAGCGTCGATTTTAATTTCAATCTCATTTTAGCTGTTGCACCCCCCCCCACCCTCCCCTTATACAATTTTCAATTTGAAGCCAACTAATCTACCAAACTAATGAATTCTGCTAAATTTTAAATTCAACCTATATATACGACTTTATCAAATATTTCTTTATTTATTAAATATTTCTTTATTTACTAAATATTTCTTTATTTATTAAATATTTCTTTATTTATTAAATATTTCTTTATTTATTAAATATTTCTTTATTTATTAAATATTTCTTTATTTACTAAATATTTCTTTATTTAATATTTCTTTATTAAATATTTCCTTATTAAATATTTCTTTATTTACTAAATATTTCTTTATTTATTAAATATTTCTTTATTTATTAAATATTTCTTTATTTACTAAATATTTCTTTATTTAATATTTCTTTATTAAATATTTCCTTATTAAATATTTCTTTATTTACTAAATATTTCTTTATTTATTAAATATTTCTTTATTAAATATTTCTTTATTTAATATTTCTTTATTTATTAAATATTTATTTATTAGATATTTCTTTATTACCTTTAACTAATAGTCATCATTTATTTATTGAAATCAAATGAAATATTTAAATC